TATTTGTTTTTTCAAACAAACCGACCTTTCGGGCCCTTTACAGGTCCCATGGTTAATTATTTATTGCATACCCTATATAGGGTGGTTTGCATTCATATTAGACATAACTGGTTGAAGACTGTACCCCTTACTTGTACGCCTGGTGGTAAGCGAAGCGCCTGTCCATAACAGATGTAGCTGTCCATAAGTCAGAGCTTTTAATCGCAAATTTCTTAGGGGCTGCCATTGAGCCCGTCACCTTGAGACATAAGTTGACAAGTTCCATGTGCCTGTAATATCACCAGTACCCTTACCCTTCAAAACTGGAACGCAGTAATGGTCACATTACTGCTTGGCGGCCGAAATAGATAAGGTAACAGGGCGTCTCTGGAAGAACTCTTTCACAAGGAGCTCTACTGCTGCTATTTCGGCAGAATTGATATTATTGCATTTGGGTATTATGTCGCAATTTCGTATATTAAGAGAGCATAATTATTATTTAATATTTTCTTTTTATTTAAGATAGGCTCACGTTAGCTACAATCTTACCTGATGGAAAGTAAGGATCTAGACGACGAAGACACACGCTCACTTAAAAGATGTCAGTCGCCTTTTTGTTTACCTACCAATGACCTATTGAAATCTAAAATAATTTACTCGAAAGTTTCTAAACACATTTATCGTCTAATATCAGATTTGCGTTTTTGATAGCTAATGCCTCAGTCACATGCCAACTGCTTGCATTTAAAGTAGAAAAATTCGATATAATAATCCTACCGCCCGCTATTTCGGCATTTTATATTCAATGCTTGATTATTGTTAATTAAAGTTTCCGAGTGATTAGGGAATCATGGATAACATGGACAATTATATTTTACAGCTTAACAAGAACATTAGTGTGTCTAACAATACTTTACATGGAAAGAAATAAAGAACAATTTTGTTTCGGAAGTTTAACTTTCGATGCGCAAATTATAACTTTGTGAACAGATACATAATGGGTGAAAATACGCGCGCCGAATCGAAGGCGAGTCGACTTCGTGTTACCGATTACGTTTAAGAATCAAAAACGATATCAATTACAATTAACGTGTATTATTATGACTGTTTTAAATGCTTTTGAATAACTTTCAAGAATTCAAGAGGTTGTTCGATTAAAACTTTTTGGTTTTGGTAGGTAATATCAATTGACTATAGGTTACTATACTATCTTTAATTACACAAAATCAAGTTATTGATTTTGTGTAATTAAAGAAACATTATTTTATGAATAAGGAAATACATTAGATAGATAGATAGATAGATAGATAAAAGCTTTATTCACCACCATGACATCAGAAACATGATATAGGCATTAACTTATATGTATATAACAATAATGATATTCTTATCTACTAATATTACACTTGGAAGTCATGGCAGTGAAAAAGGCGCTGGCTCAGCATAAATGACGCGGCTGCCCGCGACGCTGGTATTCTGCCAGGATCCTATAGGATAGAGACGCCACTCGCAATCCAACAAAAATCTGATTTAATTTTTAAATTATTAATTTTCAATCTTCTTCCTCCCAACCTCCACACATAATACACTATTTGCAGTCCTGAAACGAGGTACAGCCAAGAGCATAACAAGCCCGGCACCTTGGACCTTGGACCGTTCCTATCGCAAGCGGCACAGAGTTGAAATTAAATCTTAAATCTTAAATGTCAAGCATGACGCGCTCCCGACCCTGTACGTGGACAAACAAGAGACAACCGCAAATACCCTAGCCACTCATATCCCCAATTTTTTGCAAATTTAACAGATGCTCCCGCAGCTTTAGCTTAAACGTTTTTTTTGAGATTTTTTACAAATTTACAAATTTGCCAATTATTATGAATATTACATGATTATTGCAGTGTTTTTTTATAATGTCGTGCGCTTAGCGGTAAGCGACACGCCTGTCCGTAGCAGTTGCAGTGCCACTCAGAGCTTTAAATTGCAAAGATCTGAGGAGCACCGCCATTGCGCCTATCACCTTGAGACATAAGTCTGTTGACAAGTCACATGTGACTGTAATTTCACCAATACCCTTACCTTTCAATACCTACCGGAACGCCGTAACGTAAGCATTACTGCTTGGCGGTTGAAATACAAACACGGTACTCGGCTTCAAGACCTAATTATGTAATGATTGCATACGATAAATTTTTCTTCTAGTAAATGAAATAATGAAACAGAACCAATATTTTTTGTATATTTTGTTAATTTTTTTTTTAAATTTATTAAGGCTTTGCAAAGCAAATGCAAAGGCAAAGCCATCAGCCTAAACATGAAGGTTAATTATGTTTCTGTAAATATGGCCGCCACAAAGAAGATAGGCAATTTGAGGCGGCGTGCTTGAATTGACTCGGGATTCCTTAAAACGGGCCGATATGGGTATTTTAGTTGGAGATTCGTATAATTTCGCGTTTTAATCTTCGATTAAAGCACAATAGCACTATCCTATTCCACTTTAAACTAGACTTCACAAAATAATTGAAAGTCAAAATAAAAACGACACTTTTCCCTCCAAAAGGTCCAAAGCAAATCTTATATTTTGTTAACAATCGATGACAACAAACGCATTTTTTTTTGTAAATTTTAACCTATATATCAGGGTAGGCAAAGGTTCCACCATACAACCTCTTCATATATTTAGACGGAACCCACACAAACGCTACAAAACAATAAACCAAAGAGGTAGATTAGAAATAGCCAAGTACCGCACTAAATTTTAAGCAATAATTCTTTTATAAAGATTATATAGCAGTATAGCGTTTGAGTAGCGTCATTTGATATTTTAATTAGCAAAAATACGATGTTCTTTTTATGAAATCCAATGTAGTTCTATGTGCA